AGCGCTCGTGTCTTTCGTGTCCTTCTTGTCTCTGTGTCGTCGTTTTGTTCTCGTGCTATAACTATCGTCATGCCATACCAACTAGCCCAAGCTGCCACACTTTTCACAACAGATCCGTTCTACCAATGGCATAGCGGTTGCACGGTTCGGTTGCTTGCCCCAAGGTGGTGAGCATGGTATACAGGGCCCAAAATGACCTTTGACCACACTCACTTCCTCGGCCCCCACTTCAGATCAAGCAGGTGTCCCCCCTTCTCCCTGAAGAACAGTTCTGCCTACGCCGCTGCAAATTAAATGACACCAAATGGTCGCGATTGCCGGACGTCTCGACAACGGCGCACCCCATAGTCATATCATATAGTTCTGGCGCGTTAAACTCTAGACATTGCTATTAAAGGGGCCCTCTAACGTTTAAAACCATTGGTGCTGAATGCATAACTGGTAGTGGCGCTCGCTAGAACTACCGCGAGTGGATATGACGGCGGAGGGCGCCGGCCTGCGATTGGATAAACGCAATGTTAGATGCAAATCGCGGCATTGCATCAAAATAGGTGAGCTCGCGATTGATGATGATTGATATATATGGTTTAACGTTCCGAAACCACCATATGATTACGAGAGACGCCGGAGTAGAGGGCTGCGGAAATTACGACCACCTGGGGTTCTTTAATGTGCACCCAAATATGAGCAAACGGGCCTACAACATTTCCGTCTCCTTCGGAAGGTCAGCCCACCAAAATTGAGTCGAGGATAAGAATTCATTTCAATGTATTTTCACATCTCTACGCTGAATAATTTTGCACTGCGTTTTTCTAACTCTGCCGTATACGGCACTTATCTCTTAAGCCTTCAGTGTACGCGACCAGCTAGAAAAACATGTCAAACAACGAGGTCGTGCAAAGTGTTGGAGGGCCCCCTTAAAGTCATGTCACCCCAGTCACCAAACGGCATCAAAGCTTCTCGGATGCCAAAGCGTCTGCGCATCTAAGTTTCCAGGTGCAACGCTTTGGAGGTTAGCGAGCCTTTTTACAGCAGATGCGTTCGCACTAAGAAATAGTCGTATGACATTGCCACCTATAAAATGGTCTCTCTTTCTTTTTAGCCTGAGTACTACATTCAAGACGCTGTGTGCCTCTCCGTCGTAACTTTGCCAATAGGTCGTTCTCGATTGCTTGGAGTGTCTTGGGTTTCGTTTTTTTTTTGGTGTTTTATTCGCATCGTGTGCGAGTTCATGTTCGGTGCACACCAGCGTTCACGACAACGAAAGCCAAACACGAGGCGAGCGCGATCATGCATTCGACACATCTTGCTGACGGAACTTCTTCCATAGCTTCCACAAAGTTGCACCCGATGTATAAAACGGAGTATAATATCAGAAGGCCATGGCCATTCTGATTATGCCACAGTCGCGTGGACGTTCGGTGACCCAGTGCCAAATTCACTCGATGGCTATATAGCTCGATAAGCAAAAATGGTCACAGAGATGAACGCCGATCTGCACGCAGTGTTGTTGGGCTTAACCATAAAACTTTTTTTGCTGTGAGAAACATGCAGTTGCCTGTCAGCCAACGTATCTGAAAACTTTGCTGTCAGCCGATCAGGTTGTGATGCTTGTTCTGTGATCGGCGACATCTTGGCATTCTTTTTTGGGGAGCCTAATCGCGTTAATCTTACTGGCAGTGTGGTTACACAATGGCACCCGTATTTCCAAGGTGAAATATAAAAGTTTCTCATTCACTTTATACGTGAGGCTATTTAAAACATGCGCAGGCGTATTTCCTTTAGTTGTTTACTTCGCGACGCGCGAAAAAATTCTTCTTACGTGCATGCACCTCAAACGCTAAGCGGCGTCTACGTCTACATAAAACTAACATGACACGCTGACGGTGCACCCGCGTCACTTTCCACAGCGTTACGAGAAGCGCGCCGAATCTGACTACTTCGCGTTAGGCTACGTGTGCAGATGCTCCTCTTCCATATCTTTCCCTCCAATACCAATAAACGTTGTCGCCCAAGTATATTATAACGAGCAGAAACGTTATAACGCGCAGAAACACGACAAAATTCGAACGCTGTTACTCACAAGGAAACGCCAAGCCCGTTCGTGATGCAGTTCGCGTTTCGACGATCGCTCCCAGACTCCAGGACATTATTGCGCAGCAACGCTCACCATATCGCTGGCGATGCCTCACGATGGTGATGATAACAATTATGTATGACTCGCACCCACTCGGGGGGATTGGCCGAGAAACGAATAATTAGGTAGAAGTGATCACATATGAACTGTATATAAAATAAAAGATACTAACTGTCCTAATTTTGAGATTTGCGATCAAAATTGCCGTGATTAAAATACGAATTTTTTACAGACATCGCGGTGAGAACGACCTAATGAGGAGGCTTGCAAGGATATAATCTAGAAATAACGGAATTCAATCAATATATGCACTTTTGTTTTATCTTCAACTGTAGCTGATACCCATTTTAAAAATTCACCAGGACTTGAGTGGTTTTGATATCTTATAGAACCTTCGGACGTTATAGTATAGAAAATAAACGCCACAAGGTTAATAGAAAACTGGCGAGTTCGATCCACGGTGGTTCGATCGAATGGATATATATATATATATATATATATATATATATATATATATATATATATATATATATATATATATATATATATATATATATATATATATATATACCACGAGTAATATCTTTTTAGTAACCAGGAGTCACGATTGTAGTGTATCTACTTTTGGTTTTACGAGCCGTCGTAGAGGAGCACGTCGTAGTGAAGGGCTCCGGAAATTTGACCGTTTTTTTACCACGCACACACATCGCACAGTACACAGTCACCTCCATCTTGGTCAAGGCTGGAATCGAACCCACAACCTTTAGAACAAGATATATATATATATATATATATATATATATCCGCAACGACGGACTTGAGCTAAGTGAGTTGAAGAAACGGAAGGTAGTTCAAGTTCTTCAACGGTTTCATTAAAAAGGTGGCGTCACAAGAGGTAAAGCAATGACTACAAATGTAATTATATAGCTTCATTATTTGCTCACGTTCGTCGCATAGTTGCTAGTCATGCCGGTAATTGGGTTGCAATTTAAGGTGTACTCGTAAAATCGACCGCACAGCCCTGCAGTTTAGGAACTTTTATAGTACATTCAGAGCCTGACATGCAATCATCCATTGATTTAGCTTTTGTTCATCTTTTCTGCAGGTTCGTATACCTACGCAATACGCTGCGCGCTCATTTCACCGATAAGACGGCGACGAACGATATCGTGACGTAATGGCGCGACCAGATTTGTTTGCAACAACGCATGCGCAGCATCGCCGTTAGTGTTACGCGCGTGCGGTGGGCTTTCATTTTTTTCATTGGCGGCGCGTCACGCTGTGTGCGTTTTGTAGACGGCAGTTCTTCGGCACTTTGGGTGGCTGGCCGCGATGTTCAGGCGAAGGGCGTGCGATAATACTGTATTAGTACGTATGAGCCGCGTTTCACCTTTTCCTGGGAGTTCTGGGGGACATCACCTGGACTTGTGCGACTACGTACAAGGAACCACGTCGCCTGGAGTTTATCGAGGGCCACTGCGAGCTTCGGCATCAAAGAAATCGGTAAGCCCCCCCCCCCCCCCCCATTTTGACAGTCCGGCGAGGTGTGGAAGGCGTGTTCAGCATACATGACTAACTATAGTTTATAGTTACCGTGATCAAAGTTCAAGGTGCGTTGCCTCGTACTTTCGTGAGCGGGTTCGTTAAATAATGCCGTTAATATGGACCCATAATCCCCGTGACAAAATTGCGCGTACAGCTATCAGGCTTAACTTACAGTTAGGCAGGTTCTAGATGGGATTGTCAGCGCTGTGGCCAAGGGAGGTGCACCCCACGACCCGGAATGCCCGTCTATAGCTTCCGTAACCGTAATTTCGTGCCCGTCTTTTTCTGGTGCGTGAATATCTTTATCGCGGGCCGGCCGCAATACGGCTAGTCCCGGCGTTTTCCTCGCCGGCTTGTTGCCGGACTTCAAGAAACTGGCCAAGTCTGCCAAACTTCAAGCACTTCAGGTCTGCAGAACACTTTGAGTCGGGGAGCTGCTACGGGCGCAGCACCCCTAAACTGTTCACTCGGGTTCTGCGTGTTTCTGTTGTAGTGCCACCCCTTGCCCTCACTTTTTAGATGCGGAGCATCTTATACTCGCGCCTTGTAGTGCGCCGTCCGCACCGCTTCTCGAACATTCGACAGGTGACGCGCGCGCATGCGCCGTCGCGCCGTCGCCCACTCTTCCACCATCTGTGCATCCCTTCCTCCTCTACACACCGCGCGCGCTTCACTCGTCCACTATCTGTGCACCCTTCCTCCTCTACACACCGTGTTCGACATCTACAATTCTCCTGATTCTCCAGTGGACGCGCATGTGGCGTCGCGCTTCGAGAACATTCAACAGCTGACAGTGCATGCGCCGTCGTGCGGTATATATACTCAAGGTCGGCGCTCGCTCGCTCAGTTGCCGCTCGTCGGTTGGTTTGTACGGCGCGTCGACGTCCAAGGTCGCGGTGAAATGAATTCCAACGAATCCACAAACACAATGATCGACGTCCCTTCGACCAGCGCCGCCCTTTCGCATACGTGTGTACGTGTTCACTCATTTAACAGCCCCTCCTACAACCACGTTAACCAATTTAGCCATCGACCCAAGTAAGTCGCAATTTAACACCCCATTTCACAACCACGTTAACCAATTTAGCCATCGACCCAAGTAAGTCGCACTTTAACACCCCGTTAACCAATTATATGGTCCGCATCCTCCTCAGTGTTCCCCCGAGGGAAGCTGCGGGCAATTTTTTTTTTCTACCTTTGACTTAGCAAATAGACCAACCGTTGCTTCGGGCTCAAGCGTAATTCGTGAGACGGCGTTTATTTAATTGGGATTTCATCGCCAAACAAGTTTTCTTTTCGTTCCAGGAACATGCATCAATGAACGTCATGACGCGCCCCGCGATACTACGGCGTATCTTGCGTACTACCACCGACGGAGCTTTTGTGGCGGACGCGGTATTGGCATTGCATCGAACGAGTAAGCATGACTTTATTTCCATGAGTAGAACAGATGTATTCATTAAACGTGGTGGGGCGCCTTGCTTCTGGAAGCCCTGTTAACCACAGCTATCGCTCTCTGGACATTTCGAAAGATGTAGGTGTGCCTGAAGGGTGACACCACCCGTAGGAACCGTAGCGATTTAATTGGAGTCTCATAGCATTTCAGCGTGTGCGTGTTTCTGCGACTATGGGTCAGACTGACATTGAATCATGAGCGTGAACCTTCGTTGAGTAATATTAACACGAAAATGGTAAAGAGCTCGTTTCGCGAAAATTCCGGCGTCGGAATGCGCCGTACTCATACAAGTTGGCGTAGTTTTTGAGATAGCTTCCCATTTCGAGCGCGCCTAGGCCTAACTTCAACATCGCTGTAAACAAATCGGCAATGTAGGTGTTTTTGCGTTTGGTGGGTGGTTCATATTTATTTACTTTTATTATCACAAAAATAAACTTCTAACGATTCTTTGCGCGGTGGCATAGGCAAACATTCTCGTTTTCTTTTCATTTTCACTGTTTAACCTATTAACCACCTAATAGGTGGCGCCACCATCCCAGCTGGGGCACGTAAACCACGTAAACGCTATTTCGTTAAACTATAAGACGCTGCCCACAACGAACGTTTGCTGCACGGTAACGCCATTCCCTTAACCTACGCTATCACGCTAACGCTGAACTATAACTGTCTAGCGTTAGAGAGCTCGTGTCGCAGAAATTCTGCCGTCGGCGTCGGCACCGCTGGTTGTGAGTGAAAAGTCATCCGTGAGCGAAAAATGGAATGAGCAAATAAAATAAAGAATAAAATTTTCAGTCTCAATAAGAATTGAACTGGCGCTGTTCACGTGGCAAGCGGGTGTCCAACTGCAAAGCCACGATGTTGTCTGCAGCTGCTTTAAGAAAAAAAAAAAACACTACATAAATGCCACGTAGTAGGAGTCTCCTTAACGCATTTTGTTCAACAGGTGTCACGACGAAAACGGTCGATTCGGCGATTTGTAGGCGCATTTGGGAGACCATCAGAGTACGTCGAAAAAGGCCGGGATAGTTTGGGAGTGTGAGTGCGGTGGTCGCCGCCACTACTCGGACGAGCGTGAGTGTATACCCCAGGACGACTGGCTGAGCGGTGACGAGCCGCCCTTCTCAGCCCACGTGCAGTGGACCAAATCTGGGCGGTACAGCGAGCCAGTGCTATCACCGAAGACATCGCACGATGCTCAGCGGACGACTGCTCCTGGAGGCCTAGCCCGGGCCAGTAATTCCTCGTTGGATCCTTAATAAAGTTTATTACCAACCTAGTGCAGCCATCGCCGCTAAAAATACACGGGAACTTTCAAACAGCTGTAACAATGGGCAACTATGTAGGCGTTGATTAAGCAAACAGCAAACGCTTGATAATGTGCTGCCATCTGTGAGGCACTGTGAGAATCTTTATGGACTCCGAGATGGCGAGCGCGTGGCGTGTATCTTGGAGGCCATGCGACTCTTGCTTTAGATCAAAAACTTGTATGTGCCATTCTCGTGCGCGCTGGTACAATCTAGTGCGTGCGTGTGTGTGTGTGTGCGTGCGTGCGTGTGTGTGTGTGTGTGTGTGTGTGTGTGTGCGTGTGTGACACAAACATATTTATACGTATGCACATAGCGGTTGAAAGGCGCACTAGGGGTCGGATTTCGCTATCGCGTTAAACTCTTAAAGGCGAAGCTTAAGGTTCCCCCAATTTTTGCTCACGCCTGTACATTACCATCCGGCGTCACATGGGGTTATCATAACGACGTCATTGTTTAAATCCAGTCACCCGCTTCAAAATACACACATGATACCGCACCCTTGAGGCCGCGCTGTGGGTGCATACCAAGTTCGCGAAATTTAATACACCAAGTGTTTGAAGTACGCAAAAGGAACAGAACATCGCTATCGCGTTCGACTCGTAAAAACGAATCTTCAGCTTCCCCCCCCCCCCTTTTTTTTAGTGGGTTTTAGTGAGCCTGATGAAAGCAAACTCGTGGGTGTGAGTACGAGTCAGTTAGGCTCAGAAAAATTTTGGTGTGTCTACAGCGCAAGATATATAGTACGAGTGATTTTCTTAATTCGACGTACCTATCGTCAGATCCACTCGTATTGGCATTATTAGCCTTAACTGGCTTAACCTTTATACTCGCGTCTATTCACACCCAATCAAGAGCAGTCTTGTCCATACACCATGACACCATTGATCAGAGGCGCCACTTACGTAGCAGAGTGTCTTGACTCCCCCCTCTTCCCCTATAATTATCATAAGTGTTCATCTCTTTCAATAATTGGGGGTGGTGGGATTCACCTTTGAGCTGTGACACAATCTTCTTGCTTTGCGTACGCCTGCATTCTGTTAGATTCCGGCGAATGGTTTAATTCCATAGAGGGATTGCAGCTTTGTTCAGCTTGGCATTGAAACTAAAGAATTCTCAGCCGCTGAAACTTTGCTAGACGGTGACTTTGATTCGTGCGGAACATGACGTTCGCATTCGCTATGACAAAGTGGTGGTTGCTGGCGTTCTTGGACGTTTATAGCCAGACTATTCAGGGCTTATCTTGTAAAAAAAAATGTAGAGGATCCGTAAGCTTCACCTTTAAGAGTTGAATACGATAGCGATATACTGTCCCTAATGCGTACTTCAAACACTTATTGCATCAAATCTTTTCGAGCTTGTTGTGCACTCACTACGTGGACGTAAAGTGTGTGCTTTGTCACGTGGATGACTGGCTTTAAACCACGAGAGCGTAATAATTGCATGTCCTGACGCACGATGGCAATGTACGCTCGTACCACGCATCATTACTGCAAACGACTGTTATATTGGGAAGCATGTGTACATGACGCGTGTATTTGTAAAGTATGGAAGTTATTTTCACGGCATTTTCGAGCAGATGAAGTTATTTTCCCTGTATTCACATGAAAACGCATGGCTGCGTGGCAGTGCACCAGCTTGCCACGCAAACTTACCCGGGTTCGATCTCCAGTCGGACCCAGAATATATTAATCATTGTATTGCGCGTTTTTCAATTTTTCAATCACTTACAAGATAATTTTTCACTCAAAGCTAATGACGCCCGAACGTCAGCGAAACGAGCTATTTAACGCCGCCGCGTTAACATTATTTTAGAATCCAGTTTTGATATATAGCGTGCAGGCACATTGCTGCATTGCTGAAAACCACAACTGGGTTGGCGACAGTGACACAGCCCCTTTCAGGCAATTGGGCACATGTTTTAAATATTCGTACAACGTGAGGCTTCTTTCACGCTCTGCTGTGCTGAAACATCCGGGCTTTTTGTGACACTCAGACGCAGTGGTTTAGCAGCTCCGACGTTACGCCAATCAGCATTAGAACGAAGACCACACTGGCTGCATTAAGCCGAGAGTTAATTGCAGACATGTGTGGTTGTAAATTCAGGTTCACAATAAGTCCAACGTGCTTGTAATCTTGCCCTACTTTTGGCAAAAGGAATCTTAAATTTTAATTTCTGATTATTTTCGAGACATGTCAGTGCAGTTTTGAAGAGGAGAACTGGACCACAGAGTGCATTGCGGGAAAACTAGCACAGGCGCACCGCCAGCGATCCGGCGTCCAGCTCTACAATGGCGTCCGTATCTTCAAGGTGAAATGTGAGTTCCTCGTCTATTTTTTACGTGAACTTATTTGAAACAGTACGCAGCTCACCGAAGTAAGATGTTCGTATTTTCTTTAGTTCATTGGTTGTGACTACGTGTTTTTAAACCCGCGAAATAGTGCCGCCTTTTTATGTGTACCCTCAAACGCTACGTCTGCGTGTTCATGAAACGCTGATGTACCCCCGTCCACAGCGTAATGAGACGCGTGCCAAATTCGACCACTTTGCTACATGTGCAGATGCTCCGCTTCTGTAGCTTTCCCTTTAGTACCGATACAACTTGTCGCCGAGTATGTAAAGGAAATGAAAACGTTTACTACAGAGAAAAAAAAAATGAAACACGGGTTAGAAACAGGTGGGTGGGGCCCCTAGTCCGGTGCTCCGCTGACCTCAGCAGCCCGCCGCGCCTGGTCCAGGAGCGCCATTTGGGCCTCCTTTTCCTCACTGGCGAGCAAGGTCTCCCACTGCTCTATCGCCAATTTTTTCGCCGAAATCTGGGGCGTATTAATTTTAGCTGGCCTCAACTTACAATACCATGTAATGTGAGCAAGTGTTGGCTGTCCTCCACACCACGGAGAAGAACCCGCGTATGCGGTTGGGTGCATCGCATGTTTTAAACGCAGGTGCGGATATGTACTTGTCTGCGGGTGGCACTACTCATGCGCTTCTTCACCTTTTCATAAACGCCTCCCTGGGCGCCGCCATAGCCCTCCTTGGGCGGTGCGAATTGGCGCGTCCCCTCGAAAATGCACTGACAACGCTGCGCCCTTAGCCTTTGCACTCCCGCGCACAGCCCATCATGGCGGTGTTTTTTTCCTTCCTGTGAAAAGGTGTATACACTCAGATAAGAATGGGGCGGTGAGTATCGCCGTCGTTGTCGACGCTGGTGTTCTAAGATATCTCAAGGAGTGTGGGGAGCTAGGAAGTAGCAAACGGGTATCTGCACGAGGGACGGTTGCTCTGCTCGAGCTGCACTGTCTGCTCTGTCGTTACCCGTTTCCGCAACATGTCCGGGGCACCATATGATGCAATGTTCATGGTCTAGTGTTGCATCTAGGTGGCGGGCGACGCACGCAGGTACAGAGTCGTTAGTGAAATATCGACAGGATATTTTGAGAGTCCGAGTATAGTTCACTATAGTTACTTATAACGAGCGAAAACGTTGAGAAACCCAACACAAGAACACGACGAAAGGCGAACGCTGTTACTCACTAGGAAGCGCGACGCCCGTTCGTGATGCAGTTCGCGTTTCGACGATCGCTCCCACACTCCAGGACGTTATTACGCAGCAACAGCCACCATTCATATTCCTCGCGATGCCTGATGATGGTGATGATGGCCTGTAAGTATTGCTATAGTGATCTAGATGTATGGCTCTTACCGACTCTGGGAAATCGGCCAATAAACGAATAATTAGGTAGAAGTGAATAATTATGAAACGTATATAAAATAAAAATAACGATTAAAATAGAATAATGATTCTAATGTAGATATCGGTGGTTAAAATCGCCATGACTCAACTAAGAATTTTCTACAGCGGAACAGAGATCCCGGGGACAATGACCTAACGAGGAGGCTTGCTAGGATGTAATCTTGAAATAACGAAATTTAATCTATGCCCTTTTACCTTCAACTGTAGCTCATACCCACTTTCAAAGACTGACCAGGACTTGAGTGGTTTTACAATATATTGGATTTTATAATATAATGGATTTGGGGGCGTGTCCAGGCAACATATGCTATCAGACCTTCTGTTTTGTTTGGCGTGTTCGTTGGTTCGGCGCATTGCCAGATCAACAAGGCGTCGCTCACTTTACCGTGGTGGTTTCTTGGGTACCTTCGGTACTTTACTTATTTTTCTTGTGCAGTTTAGTGGTGTGACATTTTGGAGTTCAACTAGATCACAGAATGTGTAGATAACCGCTCGTGTGACTGCCGACTGCTTTCCCTGCTGCACGGCTGACGTGCCTTTTGCTTTTGGTGACTGCATGGGAACGCGACAGGCTGAACAGGACGCTGCAATCTACGGCTGCGAAAGCTATATTTTCAAAGCTGCCGTCTCGCTGCAGTGATTATTGCCCCGTAGCGGTGGTCTAGCGGCTAAGGTACTCGGCTGCTGACCCGCAGGTCGCGGGATCGAATCCCGGCTGCGGCGGCTGCACTTTCGATGGAGGCGAAAATGCTGTAGGCCCGTGTGCTCAGATTTGGGTGTACCTTAAAGAACCCCAGGTGGTCAAAATTTCCGGAGCCCTGCACTATGGCGTCTCATTATGTGGTTGTTTTCGGATGTTAAACACCACATATCAATCAATCGCTGCAGTGATTTCGAACGGTTGGGCAACGTGAGTTTTCTAACCATTATGCTATCGTGACCGTGAACAGTTGTCTCACTATTGCCTCTGGGAAGTTTCTTGTGCATATTGCAAGTACGTCATTTGGCTGATAAAACAACTTCCTGAATCTTCGTTTTTTTCTGTTCCTTTTCTCTTTCGCATGCGATTATCGAGACACAAGGCGCAGTGAATTCGCGTAATAGTAAAGGCGCGTTACAGGTATGCAATTAAGAAAATTCTCCATTTCTCTTCATGTATAGGGCAAATGCGTGACGTCGCTAGCGCTTCCGCTCGTAACGTAATATTTTATTTATTTTTGCTGTTGTCCCCTCCTCAGCTACGGTGGCAACGAGCTGCCGACCAATGGATCCATGGCCTTCTATGGAAGTTACGTGACCATTTTACATATACCTTGAAGCTTTTCTTCGAGTTCTTATACCTCCGAGATACGCCACGCGCAGATTTCGCCGATAAGACGGCGACGAACGATACCGCGACGTAATGGCGCGACCAGATTTGGCTCCAACAACGCATGCGCAGCGTCGCCGTTAGTGTTACACGTGGGCGGTGGGCTTCCATTTTTCATTGGCGGCGCGTCACGCTGTGTGCGTTTTGTAGACGGCAGTTATTCGGCACCTTGAGTGGCTGGCCGCGATGTTCAGGCGGGGGACGTGCGATAGTGTTAGTACTATGAGCCACGTTTCAAATTTTCTTGTGTGTGTGGGGTGGGGGGGGGGGGGTAGGCAGAGACTTGACCTGGACTTATGCAACTAGGTGCAGTGCCAATTTTTACGAAATAGAACACGGCAACGCGTGGCCTGCGGGCTCCGGCTGCTGCTGGCAGCGCGTTCAATTGAAAGCGAGAGCAACCGCAGCCTTTTTCCGCATCATGTCGTGGCGAGCAAAGCAACGATTCATTGCCGATATGGAACCAGCGGCAAGGAGCCCCCTTCCCCCGTCAAGGTGGATAATGCAAGAGGCCCGTAATCGCCTTGAATGGGGAGGGGGTACTGTTTTGCCCCTGGTTTCATATCAGCAAAAAATTAGAATCCTTGCCGTAGCGAATTCGAATACTCTAATATTCGTTGGAATATTCGAGGTGCTTGAATATTCACAAATGCCTAAGCGTTATATGTTGTGGCCAGATTCTCAATGACATGATGCAGTTATCTCACAGTTCTTGAAACCAGTTTTGTACAATTAATTTCGTTGTTTGTTTTTTTCAATCTAGGAGCACTGTACATCGATCTATCGACATGATGGCGGCTTGCTTTCAGCTTAGTATCTTTTCACCTGTCACACGCCAGGGCCAATCCCGTCGGTCCATGCAAGTCTTCCAGCCCCTCCTTCATAGAAGACGACGTTCCCCAGGGGTCAGTGTTTCACCGCCATTCTAGTTCCCACTGCGTTCTCATACCTTTGCTCGGTGATCTGGAATTTCTCGCGTAAGCACATCCGCATTGAGTTACAGCTAAGTGCTCACGGAATAAAGTGAAACGATTCAGGGCTAAGTAATACTGCAGTTTCCAGTCTTCAGTTCGTGCCATAGTTTCGACACGAGCACTTGTGTTAGTCAACGCTGCCTTTAGCAGCTTAGTTCATAGTGACGTGACACGGTTACTTCAAGCAATTGTGCGTACTCCAACTTCCAGTTCGAGTTGAAATAAAACAGCTTAGTAAATCTATAGATATAAGACATTGTATTCACATTACATTAGTTACGCTTAATAACATCCCCTACACTTCTCTTGGAATCTTAGTCTGTTAGTTCTCATTAATATTTTGTTTAACCGTGATGAGTGGAGTGCACGTCTGAAGTGCGCGCCTTTGAAAAGTGCGCGTCACGAAAAGGAAGATATGACATAGTGCACGCGCAGTGCTACGTAGAGAGAGAGAGAGAGAAACATTTTTCGCGCATCCGGCGTGCGGGAAGTCACCGGCCGCGCAGGCGTGGGTATTCCCTATCTAAAGACTATGGCTAATAGTCCTATAGTCCCAGGCCCTAGATCTTGAGGACGTTGTGCTCTGGCTAGGCGTTGGATACTCGGGTTCCTCCGCTCCCGTTGTCCGGGGCGTCGGTTCCCTTTCTCGTCTGCATTGCCAGGGCCTCCTCAAGCCGCTGGATGGCCCTTCGTTGTGTGTTTGAGTCTTGGGAGCGTATCCATGCTCCCACCTCTTCGGGATTCGTGGCGTCCTGGCACTGCCCATTCCCATTGTTCACACCACTGTTACACCCGCCCCACATGATGTGGCGGAGGGTGGCTAGTTCACGTTCGCACACGCTACACTTAGCGTCCACAAACATGTCGGGGCATACGTGCCGGGCCAATGCTGGTGTTAGCACGCATTCCGTTTGCAGTTGTCGGAGCTTCACTGCTTCCGCACGTGACAGTTCACGATGCGGGGGCGGAAAGGCTCTCCTGGCCTCTCTGTAGGCCGCCAGGATCCCTCCGTAGTCGGTGAGGGGATCGAGGTCTTCTTCTCGTTGTTCACCGCTGGTTTCAGGGAGACGGGCTGCCGCGGTCCGGCACGTGATGAGATCACGGGCCACAGCGTCCGCCTCCTCGTTGCGGTTCTCAATGTCGGGAGCCAGTTGTCCCATGTGGGCTGGGAACCATTTGAGGGCGATGGTTGGCCCTGTAGCGGCGC